GCTACTATGTGGGTTTCACTAAACATCTCACCAAAATTTAACATTTGTACCCACAACTATTTGAGAGTACTTATTCTTTCTTACTCACCATGAGGCCTATAAATCTTTGCACAATTGCAAAACATTCTCAACTCCATTCCAGTGATCTATATCTGGACTAGACTTCTGCCAAAACATCCCGGATACATGAACTATGTCAGGGTAAGTTCTTACTTATAAGCACTCATTAAGCTTCCAACAGCTGAAGCATATAGGACGTCCTTTCGATCTCACATTGGTTCTTGGAACACTAAAAGTTACCAAAATTATTACCCTTGACTATAGGAACAGACGCAGGTTTATTCACATATATACTTTATTTCTTTAGAATCTTCTCTCAGTATACACTTGAGATAGTTCTAATACCCCTTTTCCTTTTGTCTCGGTAAGTTCCAATTTCTGAAACGAATGACACTTTACCAAGATCATTCTCATTGAAACTTGAGGATAAGAACTGTTTCTTCTCCAACAGTAGATTAACACCACTACTAGCGAGTAAGGTGCTACCCACATGTAGGATTAGGAAAATAAATTTCCCATGTTTAAACTTTGCATAAATACAATTGTCCTCTACATTCTCTTTAAACCCAAACTTTCTTATTGTACTGTCAAACTTCAAGTACCAATGTCTTGAAGCTTGCTTTAATCCATAAATGGATTTCTTTAGGCAACATCCCTTACGTTCTTTTCCTTCCACGACAAAACCTTTTAAGTTATGCCATGTAAACTTTTCCAAACAAATCCCCATTGAGGAATGTGTCTTTACATCTTTCTGATGTAACTGTAAATCATAGTGTGCCATTAACGCCATTATGATTCTAAAAGAATCGTTGCATTCTCATTATAATCTATTCCTTCTCTTTGTGTAAATCATTTCACCACAAGTGGCGCTTTATAGCTTTCCATATTCCCTTTGGAGTCACATTTGTCTCGTAGACCCATTATAGCCTACTGTTTTGGCTCCATTGGGAATATCTTCTAAGTCCCAAACATCGTTGGTATTTATCGATTTCATTTCATCTTCCTTTGCTTCTTGCCATTTAGATGAGTGAACGCCTCTCATGGCTTTTCAAATGAGGTGGAATTATCCTCCATTTGAATTTCTTTCTTATTCTTTGAGACCTTCTGGGGCCTCATGGCACTTCTTTCATATGGGGCTATTGTTACTCTTCATTGCCAAAAGGCAATTGTTCTATAGCCTCCTGTATCACAAGATCCTTATTTACTTATTCATCTTCTTTAAGAGCTAACATCAGGTGTTGTATATGTCATACAACATCAACATGTATTAAGCAATTTGTTGCTCTAAAACACTATAGTGGATATGTAATCCCACTTCTATTCAAGCCTTAGGTATCTACATACCATGCTCCCCTAGATTACTCTATTTTCTGTAAAGATGTTGTATCTTCAAATTTCTTATTTTGGGTTTAATCTGCTAAAACTCATATGGTGCGTTTAGCACTGCCTTGATAACTCTGAACTCGTCCAGTATGAATACTAGCCGACTATGCTATCTTCCTATTGGAACTGTAAAAGGTCTAGGAATTTAGCTATTTCTTTATTTTAGGGGTATCGTTATTATGACCGTCTTACTCCCTCAACGATCACATTCATCTTTTATAGATCACTTTTACCTTCAATGCATAGTATGCATTGCATTATCTGAAGTATGGGGAAGTATCTTTCTTATTTGTCTTTCTTAATTAATCTTACATTTCTCTCCCTCGAAATGTGGTATGAACTTTTCTACCACAATTTCGAAACATTCAGAACTCTTGTGAATGAGGAAACTTTGATTACTTACTTCATCCACATGATTACATCATGCAAACAAAATTCGTATGGGAGTACATTTTCATCATTACACTTCAAAACTCAACATAGTCTATTATTATCAATACTTCTGCAAGTCACACTTGCATATCATTCTTATCTTTTGGTTCACATGCAACTTTCTTTTGTTCTTAAACTCATTGAGTACTTACTGACCATGACACAATCAAAGTGTACAGTCAATACTAGGATAGCATAAGAGCTATCCCAAACTTCTCTCCATGTGCGGGATACACTTAGAGCACATGAGTCATCACATCCTTCTCCTGCCATGCGGGATAAGTACTATGCCAACTTTACCCCGCCATGTGGGTATTTTCTCAAACTTTTCCCGTCATGCGGGTACTATCACAAGATTTTACCGTCATGCGAGATAATTCCCTTAAACGGACATAAATGCTAGGATTGGCTCGTGTTCAATCATCAAATTCAGAAATAAATCCGAATATTCTTTTAACACACATGTTTAATCCAATGTTGGTCAAATTAAACATGTATACGACTTTTACAACTCTCATAAGTGAAACTGAAAATAAATTCTTCTTCACAGAGAGTACATAAAAGACATTTCTCAATGAAGACTCTCATTAATCTATCTCTTTTCTTGGATCAATATCCTAGAATTCTTTTCTTTTGAAGCCATTCTTTAAAGAGAACACAATCCCGTAAACAATGGCATTCTTTCATACATTACTTGCCCTTAGGCATTTCATCAACTGAGTCACAAGTACCCAGCTCATTTCTCTTACTGCCTTCAAGAATGAAAGCATGGAGGTCTTTTGTCTGAAAAAATATTCAACAATAATGCTCATTAAACTTTGAAATCTTTATGTTCTATTCTATATCACCGTTGGACAGAAATAGAATAAAACATCATTCTTCTACATTAATTCCACATCACCGTTGGGCAGAAATGGAATTAATGTATAGAAATTCAATAATCTTGAAAACATAGAACTGCTCCTCAAAATTAAATTCTCCTGTTGGTTCGAATTTAATTAGAAGACAATCAACTTCATTGCAGCGGAAACATGAAAATACATTTCTCAAGTTTAAGAGCATTCCTTGATCTTTATCTATTCTCTAAAAATTGGTCACTTTGATGCAAAATTCATCAGAGATTTAAACTTTAAACATAGAACTCATAGAATTATAATATTGTTATCATCAACGTTGGTCAGAAAATAACAATACAATAATTTAACTTTAACTATCAACCGACTATTCCTCCAATTAAAATTTTCCCGTTGGTTCTAATTTTAACTAGAGGATTAACTTTTCATCATTTACTGAATAACTATAACTGCTCTTCAAATTAAATTCTCCCATTGGTTCGAATTTAATGAGAAGATAATAAACTTTAACTTCGCAGCGGAAAAAAAACTCATTTTCCTGAATTTTACCCATAGGAAAATTTACTTTTTCTATTTTGTTTTTGAGCCAATTTCCATTTTTCAATTTTCTGGAAAAAGAAAAATGCGAAAATCGGCTCGTGGGCTCATTGTGACTATCTTGGCCCAAAAACCAGCAAAAGCCGGCTCGACCCACTTCTTCTTCACAAGCAGCCGCAGCCGCACCCAGCCGCATAGCGTGGGCTTGGTGCGGCAAAAAGCTCGCGTGCCTCACAAGACTCACGCTTTGGGCGCGACGCTGGCCCGTTCAATCTCGGCCATCCGTCCAGATCCGACGGCGACCCGCGCGTTTCGCTCGGAATAAAAAACCCGATGTCGCGCGCTCCCGAGGAAACCCTAACCTCATTCTTTCAGCCCTCTTTCTCTCTTCGCCTCACTCTGCTCTCTCTTCTCTCCTCACCGCAGCACCGAGCGACGAGCAGGCGAAGCAATGGAGCAACGGCGCCGTCGCCGGCCCCCTCGCCGGTGTGCGCGCTCCCCAGCGGGTGAGCACACCACCGTCGAGTGGCCTGGCCGCGGCGCCCCTTTGGCCAGAGCCCGGCGAGCAGAGCCCCCGGCTCGGCCCTCTTTTCCCCGTGCGCCGTTCAGCACAACGGCGAGGTAGTCCCTCTGGGTTTCCCTCTTCCCCTTTTCCTTTTCTTTGGTTCTTGTTGCTCTTCTCGGTTTTGACCAATTTGGATGGGATTAGGGTTTAACTGTGTTAGGGTTAGGGTTTCGGGATAGCACTGTTTATCTTCCCTAGAGGGACTCTACCGTTTTAGGGTTCGGCATCAAGCGGTCTTGAGGCCGAGCCCCTTCTATCTTCACCCAGTTAGGGTTAGGGTTAAGGAACCCCTTCTGTCTGCTCAGATCCAAAGGATCTAATCTGTTCTTTTCTTTTCTATTCTTTTGATTCTCTTCCCGCGCGTCAGCAAGCTGGCGGCGGGTGCTCCATCCCACGTGAGGCGGTAGTGATGGCGGCAGGGAAGCCCTGGTAAGACTTCCCCCGGACCATCCAATTTCTTTAGGGTTAAGGTTCTTTAGGAGGGTAATCCGAATCGAATTCGAATCCCCTTCTTTCTTTTTCTTTCTATCACCTGATTAGGGTTTAGGGTTTGATGAACCCTTTGTATTTCTTTTCTTTCTATCCGAACCAGATATAACTCATCTCCTTCTACACTACTACCCCTAACACAATCCACACACTAGATCGGTGGCTTTGATACCATTGTTAGAATCTTTCGATCATCCGTGGTGTAGATCAGTGGGGTTTCATTGGGTTTCTCATAGAAATGGTGTGTACGGAGAGGGACAGAGAGGGAGAGGGAGAGTTAGGGTTAGGCACTGACCATCGGTAGGCATTGAAGAGGCGGATCCGGCCATCACAGGTTCACCTGTGAAGATCTGCGCTAGGCAGCGATGGTCGGAGAAGAAGGGCATCGCAGTGGAGACTGGGGTGAAAACCGTGGTGGCACAGCGCCGTGGCGGCGGCGGTACTTCCCGTCACTGGCTGCACCCCTCTGTTAGATCGGAGTAGGTTTTGCAGGTGGGGCGTATGCCTCAGGCCAACCTCGTACCAAGAGCCACCGGTCCCACCTCTATTTAATGCGCAGTGTGACGGGGACCCGTCAGCCATAGATGGGCTGGGCGCCCCCGATGAGGGCACGAGGTCAAGGCCAGGTGGTCGTTGGGCCACTGTGGTTGGGAGATCAAACCAACACGCCTTTGTTGAGCTCAAGCTCCACGGCAACCGCGGCATGCTCGAAGTGCAGGTAGGACATACTCAAAGACCAGCCTGAAGTCCTTGACTGTCGTCGCGGCGACGGTGGCCTCCTCGAGCACGTCTCTCGTCTTGTTGTGGATGCCCTTCCGCACGTAGTGGCCCGCTAGAGTTGTCCACAGCACGCCGTACTCCTCAGGGAACTTGCAGACGGCGCTGCGGAGGATGGCTTCCACGGGCATCCCGGCGACGTCATCGGGGTGTTTGGCGACGAGGTCGCATAGGTCGAGCAGGAGCTGGCGCTTGGTCGTGCCCTTGGCCGAGCAGAAGCCATCGTCACTGATGGCCGCGGCGAGCTGTTCGGCCACCTCCCGAAACCTGCCTGCCGAGACGAGATAGGCGATGAACTCCTCGGCATACACCGGGTCGAACTGGAGGTAGCGGCGGCGGAGGCGGACAGCGGTCACGGCGGGGCAGTCCGAGATGTAGGCAAGGCGGAGGACGAGCGGCCACACACGGTGGTGCTGCGTGACGGGCAGGGCGTGGAGCGCGCGATCGAGGGCTTGGCGGGCGCGGGTGAGCAGGCGCTGGTCCAGGAGCGCCGAGGCGTACATGTGCCAGATGCGCGGCATCCGGGACATGCCCGCCACTAGGGCGAGCTCAAAGGCGCCGTTGAGGGCGGCGGCGGCGTGGGCACGGTGAAAGCTCTAGTTTGGTTTTGGTGAATTGGTGAAACCCTAAGTGCTAACCTAGTTTATCAAGTGATCATAAGATAGGTAGCACACTCCAAGTGATGAAGCAAATGAAGATCATAGCATGATGATGATGATACCATGATGATGATCAAGTGCTTGGACTTGGAAAGAAGAAAGAGAAAAACAAAAAGCTCAAGGCAAAGGTATAAACCATAGGAGCTATTTTGTTTTGGTGATCAAGACACTTAGAGAGTGTGATCACATTTAGGATTGATAGCCGTACTATTAAGAGGGGTGAAACTCGTATCGGAGTGCGGTTATCAAAGTGCCACTAGATGCTCTAACTCATTGCATACGCATTTAGGATCTAGTGGAGTGCTAACACCTTTGAAAATGTTTGTGAAAATATGCTAACACTTTTGCACAAGGTGATACACTTGGTGGTGTTGGCACATTTACAAAGGAGGTGGTGTTTGCAGTATTGAGATGGGTTTGGGTCCCTCATTCCATTTTCCCGAAAGCGCCGAATCCCGCCTCGCAAGCTCGGCGGGATTCGGCGCTTTCGGGAAAATGGAATGCCTTTTTTCTATTGCGCCGGATGAAAATTCTTGGTGTTTGGCACATTTGAGCAAGGGTGAAGAAGTTAGAATTGAAATGGAGTTGGTCAAAGTGATGCTGGCGTCGGTCTACTGACCGGACGCTGGGTCACTCAGCGATCGGACGCTGAAAGGCTGCGTCCGGTCGTGCTGTCAGACGGCACAGTGGCTAAGGTTGAGCACCGGACGCTGGTCTGTGTCCGGTCAAGGTGGACCGGACACGTCCGGTCGAAGAAATACGCCTCGGGGAGCTTACTGGAAACGACCGGACGCTGGGGCTTCAGCGTCCGGTCAGTTTTGCCGGAGCGTCCGGTCAGCTTCGTAGCCGTTGAAATCTGACGAACAGCGTTTGAAGCTGGTGACGCGTGGCGTCCATCGGGCGACCGGACGCTGAGGGCCAGCGTCCGGTCAGAGCGCGTTTTGCCCAGTGAAGGGGTATAACAGCTCTATTTGATTGGGGCTCTTTATATAGCCCCATGGCCGGCTCAAGGGAACTCTCTTGCACATTTTCATTGACATAGCAACCTTGTGAGCTTAGCCAAAGCCCTCCCACTCATCTCCATCATTGATCCATCATCATTGTGAGATTGGGAGAGAATCCAAGTGCATTGCTTGAGTGATTGCATCTAGAGGCACTTGGTATTCGTGTTGCGCTGCGGATTTCGCTTGTTTCTCTTGGTGGTTGCCACCACCTAGACGGTTGGAGCAGCGGTGAAGGATCGGCACGAGTTGGTGATTGTTCGTGGCCTCCTTCGGTGATTGTGAAGGGAGTTGTACCTTCCCCGACGGAGTGCCAAAAGGTAACTCTAGTAAATTGCTCGTGTCATTGAGTTACCTCACTTGTGGGTCGGTTCTTGCGGTGTCCTATCGTGTGGACGAGGTTTGTGAAACACCTCTTAGCCGCCGAACCACCAAGTGTTGGTCGACACAACGGGGATTAGCGTGTTGGCAAGCATGTGAACCTCGGAAGAAAAATCGGTTGTCTCTTGTCATTTGCATTCTCCCGGTGATTGGCTCAATCTTCATCTTGTGATTGGTTCATTCCACGACCCGGCGGTATAATCGTATCACTTACTCATTTACATTTCCGCAAACTAGATATAGCAAGCTCTTTAGTGTAACTAGAATTGAGAGCTTGCCTTGTGCTTTAAACATATCTAGTGGAGCTCTTTAGTGTAGCATTTGTGAGAGCTCTTAGTGAGTAGTAGTCAAGTAGATTGTGTGCCAATTGATCATTGCAACTAGAATTGTTGGACAGGTGGCTTGCAACTCTTGTAGAGCTAGAGCAAGTTTGCATTTCGCTATTTGTCTTACTAATCAAATTGCTCTAGTTGTTTTGTAGTTTTTAAATAAGCTATTCACCCCCCCTCTAGCCATATTAGGACCTATCACATGGTCGGTGACGGGGACGGGCCGCGCGGCGTCCGCGAGCTCCGTGATGTACGCTTGCCACAGCTCCGTGATGTACGCGGCGGATAGATGGGCCAGTATAGTCCGCTGGTAAAGATGGGCTGAAACAGCTAAAGCCCAAATCCTTTTTCCTTTTTTTCGGAATTTCTATTTGTCTTTCTGTTAGCTAAAAAAACTATTTTATGTTTCGGAGCTGTTAAGTAGTACTACCTAAAACACACTACCTATTTCTCTATTTGGGTAGCCACCCATTTTTATACTAACTATATTTTTGTTTCCAACTCCAGTAGTACTAGCTAAAACATGGCCCCTAAATTCATTCTAGCAGTCCATGACATGTGGGACCCATGTGTCATCCTCTTCCTTGTCACTATCGACGAACTCGACCATCAATAGCTTGTCGCTGGGGAGGGGAGTGGCCGGAAATAGGTCGCGCCGGGGAGGGCAGCGCCGCTAGGGAGCCATGCTCGCCCGGGAAGCCGCACTGGGGAATCACCATGGCTGGAGCAGAGAGCCGCGCTGGATGAGGGCACCACTGGGGAGGGCAAGCCCGCCACGCCGGTGACCGGAGCAGAGCCGCGCCATGGCCAGAGCAGAGAGTCGCGACGAGGACCGGAGCAGAGAGCCGCGACGGTGAGGGAAGCTGTCGGGGAGGGCCGCTGGGGAGGGCCGAGCGACGGGGAGGAAGCCTCCAGGCGGCGGCATCGGAGCGGTTCCGAGTGCGTGTGGGAGGAAAGAGAGGAAGGAAAAAATAGGTAGACATATTTGTTGGCCCAACTAATGTAGGTAGTGGGAGGAGAAATTGTGGGCCAACAAATTTTGGTAGCCTGATAGGTAGTTTGTTGGAGTGCTTTTTTTGGCCTCCACTACCCAAATATAGGATAGTTAGCCTGTTTAGATAGTCTGCTGGAGATGCTCTTAGCACTTGGATGTTCTGATGAACTTAACCCATTATAAGACTCCGTTTCCACTAGGGCACACCAACATCCATCCGTTTTTTAAGTAACGGAAAATATCATCTAGCTTCATCCTCTCGAAGGTAGAACCCTAATTATTGCAAAGTTCATCATTCAAAACGGTCTCACACAACTCCGAAGATAAAAAGTGAAGTCTAAAGGTAAAGGGCCATCTATGGGATATAAAAAACCATCACTGTAGACTCTAGCTCACGGCATGCTTGTACAATGCAGTTTTTTTTGTCATCCTGATGCTGTAATTGGGTTCAGAAGTGTAGCCAACGCAGCCAATACGTCACCCTAAATAGAACATGTAAATAAATATGGTTTAGGTTGAGATTTATCAAAAAAAAGTCATTTCTTGCTAGTCATATAGACCAACATCCATCCGTAGCACTAGATTCTTATCTACTCCTTTCCACCACATATTAGCCTAGTCTCATTAGGACAGTTTTAATGGATGTTTAATTAGAGTTTTACGGTCATTGAATAAGTTGACATGACATTGTATATATAAAGAAAGATAACAGAAATTTCATGGGATGAAAGGAGTTTTTATATGGATGAAACTTTACACTATTTTCAATACTTGGGACCTTGAAAACAGGAATATGAACCCCCTACCCAGACTGACCTATACACCACAACATCCACTTACCTTTCTCCTTCCCCTCCCTCTCTCACAAGCGTCACCTCCCATGGCAAAGTAGCTTTATACGGTGGCCGCGCGCAACCACCGTTGGCTAGCTCCAGTCTCTCGCAGGGGTCACGCTCCCATCACGGCTCATGGAAAGGGCCGACGACTGTGGCTGCAACCACCACAGGTGTGGGCTTGTCCATGGCGGAGGTGAACACAGGCTGTGACGACCTTTTCCCACCTCCCTTCTTCCTCCAGTGAGCTCAACGATGATGGGCCAGGTCTTTCAATTGGAGCTATAATCTTCATGCTCGAACATGTCCCCCGGCTACTGTATATTCAAACCTGCATGGGCAGCGATGCTTTTTTTTTTTGAAAAATCAGGAGCGGTTTTTGGGACCTACTGTTTAATATATTAACAAATAAAAGAGCTATTACAAGGAGGAAAAAAGAAGAGGGGGCCAGCGATGCTGTGGTATCTAATTTATGATGTTGCGTTTATTGTTTCCCCTTGATACATGAGACTTTTAATATTTTTGTACCGCATGAGTTTTGAATGTTGCAGTAGATTCTATCTGTTGCAGAAATATTGATGTTGTAATTACCTTTTTTTTCCCTACCATGTTGCATGCAGCAACCTATTGATCAATCGATGCAACATTGAGCAATAATCTCAACCTTTTTTTAAATGGCTTTATGTAACATATGTAGCCTGTTCGCTTGTTGGTTTCAGCCAGGGCTTATCAGCCACCAATAGTGTTTTTTCTCTCACAACAAACCAGCACCAGCCGGACTTATCAGACCAGAAACCAACCAACGAACAGGCTCATAAAAAACAAAAAAAATTGACATGTTGCGGCATGGGAAAAACATAAATCCCTATCGACCGGATGGAACACTAGAATACCAGATCAAAGACAGGCTCTGTTCAGCTGCTCGTAAAGCCGCTTGTGCTGATTTGTACGGCTGATTTGTTGGGAGGGAAAAATACTGTACTATGGCTTATAATGGCAGCCGAACACTCTCATGACTTGGAAGGGAAAAAAACCACCATCGTGACATACAAAAAACCGAATCCAACATCGATGAAAGCTAAATCCAACAAAGCAGCATGTAATGACATTTTACGCCCTGTTCGCTTGACTTATAAGCCGTACTTTTTTAGTCAATGAACAATATTTTCTCTCACAATAAATCAGCTAACGACACTTTTTACGCCCTGTTCGCTTGACTTATAAGCCGTATTTTTTCAGTCAATGAACAATATTTTCTCTCACAATAAATCAGCTAACGGCACTTTCAGCCATGACTTATGACCCAAACGAACAGGGCATTAATTTGCACAAATCCGCTTTTGTTTTTGTACACCAAACCGCTTGTAACATGGCGTGCACCACAAATCCACGGCCACGGCAAACCGAAGCTTTGAAGCCGAGTCTCCAAAGCGACGTAGATTTCAATGCACGACTATATATGGCCATGTAGCTCGAGCCCGTCGGCCTAGCCCAAAAGCCCGTTTTTTTGTGGGGCTCGACGGCAAGCGGGCCCGGGCTGGCACGGCCTGGAGGAACAGGCCGTGCCTGGGCCTTACCCCAGGCACGTAGGCCGGCACGGCATGGCCCGCTCTTGTACTGTAGGCCTGCTGGCGGCCCGGCCTGCCACAGTGCCACCGGCCGGTCCCCTCCCTAACCCTTACACCTTGTTCCCCAAATCCCAATCCCCACACCCACACGTAGCCACGCAGCCACAACCCCTTGGCCCTTGCTCCCTCCCCGAGTCGCCAGCCTCCACTCCTCCCCCCGCCTCCGAGCCTCCTAGCGCTCTCATCCCCGACCGCCACCGGAGCTCAAGGCCGGCTGCGTCTTCCCCCTTCTCCTCCCTCCTCTCTCTCTCTCTCTCTAAATCCGTCACCAGCCATGCCCGAATCCGTCGTCCCCTTGGTCGGATCCGGCCTGTTGGCACACAGATCTGTGGTGCCATGGTGGGAGGCGGTTGTGGTGGCGTGGTGGTGCAGTGGCAGGGCTGTGGTGCAGCGGCAGGGCGGCGGCGGCGCAGGAGCCACGCGGGCTACTCCGGTGGCCCTACTGCGCTGTCCGTGGCCCAGCTGCTCCGGTGGCCGTAGCTCATGGAGCTGCAGGCGGCATCGAGGCTGGTGCCGCGCGGGATGCCCCTCCCTCTCCTCGGCCCTCGCGCATGGGCACCGATGCCGCGCCCCCACGCGGACGCCCCCTCCCCGCCTCCACTCCGGCGGCTCGCGCTTCCTCCCCTTCCCCCTCTCTCTGGCTACTCACGCTTCATCGTGGGCCCGGGCTGGCCCGACACGCTGGACTGACCGTTCTTCTCGAGCCGGCCCGGCCTGATAAACGGCCCAGCAGGCCGTGCCTGGGCCGTAGGTCAGGCACGGTGCCCGCCTCGGCACGGCCCGGTAGGCACGACGTGGGCCGAACCCCATCGGGCCGTGCCTGGCATGGGCCCGTGCCGGATCGGGCCGAGCCGGCCCGTTGGACATCTATATGCACGACGGCCTCAGCGCTGGATCAGTGGATCCCTCCGATCCGATCGGTGAGCTGCCATTTTCAGGGACGTACGGAGCACTCGAGCCCCAGCCCCGGCCGGCCCGGAGTTGTAGTAGCCCTGCAGTTACCCCCAGCGTAGATGCACCACCCGGGCGTGCACGCTACCCGCTCAACCAACGGCCCAACGCCACGCTCCATGGCTGCTGCAGGGCAGAGCAGAGGGAGCGGTAACGGTGAGCCAAATAAAAAACGCCGACGCGGGCCGGCGCGAGCGCGCGGTGAGCCAACCAATCGACGCCGCTGGATCTCGATCCATCCGTGCAGCGCCGTCTCAGTCAGCTCGCTAGTACTGTACCCCACAGGCCACAGGCAGTCTGCCCACCCACCGCCCACCGCCGCTTCATAAATCATAACACCGCCGCTCGATCGCGGCCGCCGCCAGCACCACCACCAACTTGCGCGTGCCTGGTCCTGCCTCCCCTCCGCTCCCCTGGACTGCACACCCACGGCCACGGGCGGCAGAGAGAGGAGGAGCAGGGAGCGCCGATCGAGCGAGGATGGGCAACTGCCAGGCGGCGGAGGCGGCGACGGTGGTGGTGCAGCAACCGGGCGGCCGCGTCCAGCGCCTCTACTGGGCCACCAGCGCCGCCGAGGTCATGCGCGCCAACCCGGGCCACTACGTCGCGCTCGTCACGCACCGCGCCGACGCCGACGACGAGAAGCTTCGGTCCCACTCCCAGCAGCAGCGGCAGGGGGAGCAGCAGCACAGGCATCACGGCGCCTCGCGCGTCACGCGGGTGAAGCTGCTCAAGCCCCGCGACACGCTGGTGCTTGGCCAGGCGTACCGCCTCATCACCGTCGCCGAGGTCACCAAGGCGCTGCAGGCCAAGGAGGAGGAGAAGACCCGGAGGGCGCAGCAGCAGCTGCTGCAGCAGGTAGTTCAGACGAAGCACGCCGGCGGGAGGACGGGCTCCGGTGACGACTCGCAGCCGCAGCAGGTGGCTGATGGCAGCCTTGATCAGGTACTGCTTTTGCTTTGTGATCACCATCCAATTCCAATGGTTGCTGACTTGCTGCCCAATCTGTCGGTCTCTCCTCTGTTTTCCTGTTCATCCCAGCTCTGTTCTAGTTCTAGACCACTACTGTACTAATCGGATTAGCACATCCATGGATTTGATTTTAGATGTTCTTAGTGCATCCATTCACTCATGTTCTTCGATCAGCCCAATATTACGTACTACATACTCAAAACATTGCCCAACAAAAAGATTGACAGTATCATTACCTGCTTGACGTTCTGTTCTGACTTCTGAATATTTGCATGTAATTCTAGTCTCAAAATTTTCTCTATGACTATGACTACACAAGTCAACTACAAAATTTTCCGTCCAGCCAGGGATTATGTTTTGTTTGACTGATAAATTAAGAGTAGTTGATAGACTTTCGGAAGGATAAGAGTTGATAAGTACCTAGTAATTGTCTAGGTAACTTGGCTTACGTAGCTTATTCCAGTTGATCGATATTTCTATATTTAGCTGCCCACCCTCCTAATTGTCTATACCTTTATGCGCCACTAGTACCTACCGAACCAACCAATTTGATTGCAAAGGATGTCACTATAAAGTAATCTAATCGATGATCAATATACAAGGAATAATTCGAATAATTTACTCGAAACATGATATAATGGCTGGTTATAAAAAAAAACAGCCAAATTATTCCGGAGCAAGACTAGGTATAATAATAATAATAGCTTTGCCTTGTCACATCTTGCTTTTTTCCTCACATCACATGGAAATGGTAGGGATGGGATGCACCGAAATTTTTTCAGCTGCCTCCTGATATCATATCATATATTTAGAAAACTTTGTTTGACATTCTGCAATCCAATAAGACAGTCAGATAGGCGAAGAATATGCATGGAACATGGATGCATGATGCTAGCAGGAAGAAGGCCAAGAAGCCACTAATTCATTGCTAATGAGCACTAACAGACAGACAGACAAAAAAAACTAGATACTGTTTACAGTCGTCATTTGATGTTTAAATTAGCTTAGCTCAACATGATAAATTATCTCATCTTCTGGTTACTCTACTGCCGCCATATAACTTCAACTGTCGCGACAGCAGGAAAAGGACGGCCAACGGAACAGCTCAAGTTCGGCGGCGCACTCTGGCGCGAGGCATCGCCATTGGCGCCCTTCTCTCCACAGCATCGCCGAAGTCAGCAGCTGATGTGTATGTGACAAATCAGTAGCCGGTGAATGAACAGCTGCGTTCTAGAGTCCATGCTCATCAGCCTCCAGCTTTCCTGCCCCGCAGACGAAGGATGAGACAATCGGTCCGGTTGGTTCCTGTGTTGGGTGGGCGTCTCAGTACAAAACAAACGAACACTTGCTCCCACGGGGCTCGTAGTTAGAATCAAGCCCCATGTGTAATATAAGAAGTGACAGATCTTGCTCAGGTCATTTTAGCGAGTTGGGGAGTTGGGGACACACTGAAATGGAAATGTTGCAAAAACGAGCAGGGCGCTGTACTGTTATATTCAGACATGATACAGGGGTACCTCCCTTTGCAGATAGCTTTTGAGGATCTTGTTGCTTATTGCGTTGCGTTCGTGGCGCCGGACTGGCAATCATAAGCTCGCCGCGATGATGCGGTCGGAGCTGGAATCCACACACTTTATGCGTTGGAAGCGAGATTCGGCGTTGGCGCGCATATCAGGGGTGGGTTAATGATTAGACAAGGGGCTAAAGGCCTCCAAATCAGGTGCCCACACACCTGATCAAGGTACTTGTGCAATGAACAAGGTGGGTACGTAGTACTAATACGTACTTGAAATGATTGTCTCAGTTGGTAGAACAGGGTTTACAGGTGAGAGGGCACAATAGCATCTGGTCATGTTTGTACAGCCTGCAGAGGTATTCTGGTGGGTCTTATTCGGCCATGTCTGGCAAGGTTTCTCTGTAAACAGTGTCAAAGCCGAGAAGCCACATTTAGGCTCCGTTTGGCAGGGCTTCTCTAGCGGCTTCAGAAGCCGCTTGGAGCCGTTTTCTGTCAAACGGGGTAAAATAAAACGGCTCCACCGATGAAGCCCCTAAAAACGTGCTCTCACAGAGCTTTGGGGTGGGAAGGAGCCAAAAATAGTGGCTTCTCTCGGCTTCACCTCATTCTACATGGCGTTCTCTGAGAGCATATTTTAAGAAAAACTATATGTGAAGCTGTTTTGCCAAACGATTTATCAAAACGGCTACAGCTCCACCCATAGAGCTGTTCTGGGAGCTGAAGCCCAAAAAAAGGGCTTCATCGGTGAAGTGGAGCCGTGTCAAACGGGGCCTTAGGTAGCTTCATCTCTTATATTAATAGTAAAAAAACAGCTTTTCTCTTTGTAGTTCTCTTACAGAGCTGTTTTGTAAGGTAGTGTTTGGTAGAGCTTGGTTTAACAATAACAAGCTAAAATGCTGCCAAAGAGGCATTCTTTTACCGCCGCGCCTGAACCTGAGTGCTGAAAGGTATACTGACGTACGTAGTACCTGCTCCTCGCTGGGGGAAAAATTGAGTGCTGACGTACGTAGTACCTGCTCCTGATTTCAGAGTCGTTTGCACGATTTGCAGGAACCACGACTTGGAAAAAGGTCTCCAATGTTCTTGTTGCTTTTGATGAGTAGCGAGGCACACAAAGGCAAGTGAGGAATGAGGGTTTGCTGCTGCTAGTTAGTGCTCGCCGCATTGACCAACCAAAGCCGTCGCTTTTGCTTTCGCTTTTCTGATGGCCGCAGGGAATACATGCATTCAGCAGCCAGCACGTTATCAGCGCACCGAGACCGAGCTGCTTCTCTCCCACCTTTGGGCACTGGCACCAGGGATAAATAACTTTTTACCATTATAACGGACGGTCACTCTCCAGTTCTTACCTTGGCAAATTCCCATATTCTTTCACCAGCGTTGTTCGCTCCGAGATACACTTTTACCACTTTTGCACTCGTGGCGCTCCAGCACAGCTTGCCACGTCGGCCCTGAGCGCGCGAAGGGTGCAAAATGACCTCGCCTGCCCCTACCCCCCTCGTCTATCCGAGCCGGTCTCAGTTGACCCAGCCGACCCATTTTCCCTGTCCCCTTTATCTCCCCCGCGCAGACAATGAATGGAGCATAGGTAGCAAATGCACAGATCACAAACTCATCAAGTGATAGAAACAAACCTAACAGTTAAGCATTGCATTACATGACATGTTTTGTTCTGGCCACTTCATAGCAGTTCCCCATCCATACACAAGGATGTACTGTGGCCACATCCATGACAGGTTTTACATAACCGTTTGCAAAAGAAAAGACCATACAAGCTTGTTTCCCAAAATAAACAGGTTCAGAACAGCATGGGCCAAAATAAAAGACATTTTCAATTCAAGCTTTGTCTCATTTCTTCTTCCCCTTGGTTCCTGCAGTCTTCTTCGCTGGAGACTTCTTTGCTGGAGTGTTTTTTGTTGGAGTCTTCTTGATCTTGGTAGCTAGTTGCTTCCTCTTAGGTGTCATCTTTCTTTTGCCAGTTGCTTCATCTCCTAGTGGGTTCACAACGTTCACAACTACCAATTTCAGGCAATTGTTCCTGTGTGCATATAAACCATTTAGTGTTGCTTCTTCAATATTTTGCAAAATGTACAGTGAAGAATGAAATTATACCTTGTAGGTGTGTGGGTGCTTCTTTGGCTGCTGCTGCTTCAGCTGCTGCTGCTGCTTTAGCTGCTACTGCTGCCTTATCTGCAGCTAGCTGAGCTGCTTTGGCTGCTCTGTCAGCTGCTTCTCTGGCTGCTGCCAGTCTTGTCCTTGGTGAACACTGAACACTTGAGCCCTCATCTGCTTGGTCCTTCTTTGCCTTCTTTGGCCTTCCAGGTTTTGCTGCTGTCTTCTTTGTCCTCTTTCTGGCATGAAACAAAATAGATCTGGGTACACTATATAAGTATTGGTGAGAATGGTAAACAAAATAAGTTTAGAATTAACCTTTTCCTTGTTCCTGTCAGTGAGCATCTCCAGCTGCCACTCTTGTGTCCATACTCTCCACAATCTTTGCATTTTGCCTGCCTAGTTCTTCTACCAGTAGTTTCAAATGGTCCAGGGTACCTTTTCTTCCTCTCCCTACCTAGCTTCTTTTTTTCCTTGATTATTGGTGCATGACATTTGAAACCCTTGTCAACTTCTGGCCATTGGTTTCTATCAGTGATGTGAGGGATAACACCATGGTATGCTGCTTGGAATTTCTCAATAGAATAGTACTGGTCAACAAACAAGCCCATTTGTGGCTGTCTTTGGCTGGTGATGACAGCTAGGGCATGTGGGCATGGCTTCCCAGTGAGCTGCCACTCCCTGCAAGTACAGGCATGCTGTTCTAGATAAACAACATGCCTCCTAACCTCTTGGTCCTTGTATATTTCTATAACTTCTGCTTCCTGTGGATGGCCCTTCTTTACTTTGAGGTGCCCTGGACCCCTGGAGGCTGCATTCAATTGGTGTATGACAGTAGGCAAGATGGTAGGATTCAAAGCAACTGAGATCCTTCTCCTCTTAGTAAACAAAGTCAGTGTCTTCTCCCTAATAGCATCAGCCAAGCAATGTACAGGGAGATCCTTGCATTCTTTGATCCAGGCATTCCAAGACTCACCAAATTGTTGTTGATATAATCACATTTAGTCTCTGTACTCAACTTGCTCCTAGCCCAAAGTAGGTTATGGTAGTCATTTAGCCACTTGACAATACCTGGGCTAGCATCAACAACCTTGTCAAAATAGAACTTGAATTTGTGTGGAGTGTAAGCCCTTGCTGCTAGCCACATATTCTTGGCATACACCTCTCCAGTATAATACTTCTTTAAATTCTCCATCAAATGCCTGAAACACTCCCTCTTCTCACAATCAGGCCAGACCTGAGCCACTGCTGCCTCAAGACCCTTACAAGCATCAGTACACACTGCTAAATTTTCCATAGGGCCAATTGCTTTGCTAAGCTGCTGCATAAACCAGATCCAGTTGTCTTTGGTTTCTGACCCAAAAAATCCAAAGGCCAATGGAAACATCCAGTTGTGGCCATCCAATGCTTGAGCAGAGGGCAGCTGGCCATTCCAGAGCCCATTTAAGTGGGTTGAATCTATACTAATGTAAGGCCTACACCCATTTCTAAAACCATCTATGGCAGCCTTGAAACAACAGAAAAATCTAGTAAAATGAACCTTGCCATCAATTTCCTCACTATCAACCTCAACAATACTACCAGGTGATCTCAATTCCACCTCTGCCTTAAACCTATACAACCAATCAAAGGAATCAGCAAGCTTGCCAAAAAGCTTGTCAGCTGCTCTCTTTCTTCCATACACAACAGTCTGGTAGTTGATATCAATGTTGTACTTTTCATCTAGCTCTGCCTTCAGTGCCTTTGGGCCCATGGCTGACATCCTAATCAAATATGGTAATGCCATTTCTGCCACCCAACCTTGTGATGCCATAGCACCCCTAGGCACCTTGTTCCTAGAGGCACATGTATGCACACCTTCATTTATTTGCACTTGCAAAGAAGCAAACCATTTGAGTATTTGAGTCAGCATTACCTGAAAAGCCATACAAAAATTGCAAAAATATTGTATGAGCAATGAAATGCAAAGTACCCTAACACTCCCACCATGCTGGGTTCTAGCTCTAATGATCCAAGGACATCCTAGAGAAGCACAATGTCCCCTAAACCTTTCAGTATCTGAATGAGCAGTAGCAAGTTCAAAATCTTTGACTATTGCATGTTGTCTTACAGCTAGCCTAAAATCATTCATGGATGGAAAATAAACCCCAACATACAAATCTAGATTTTGTCTGTCCTAGTCAAACATTGGCTCTTGATCATCATGGTCATCAATTGGAACTGCTGCCTCTTCCATATCAGCCTGCATCTCAGCTGTCATGGTAGGAATAGGAATAGCTTCCCTAGCTGCATCCTCAGCTCTCTCATCTGCTGCTGCGAAACCCATAGCCTCATAAACTTTATCCTCATCAGTAGCTTTCTTGGCGTCTCCATTCTCATTATCTTCTTGTAAAATGGTCAACTTAGCCCAATCTACTAGTTGTGCTTGTTCAGGTGGCATAGAAGGAGGACTGCTACAAGTGTCACCAGTGCCTTCAACATTATCATGTACAGCACTACCTTGTGTATTATCAGGAGCAGCACTGCCTTGATCATTACCAGTAGCACCATTACCAGCAGAATTACTAGGACCACCACTGCCAGCAGAAGTTACACCAGAGACAAACCTAAAATTAGAGCAAGCGTTGACAGATTGATCATCTTTATTGACAACATCCACTACAAGCACAGCTTCCTTTTCATTCCATCTAGCCAGTATAAGCTGCTAAAAATGTTCATCCCTCCTTATTTTCCATTGAGATGGGCTGTCAAGCTCAACCACCCAAACTGCCAATGTCTGTGAAGGTCCCCAGATTATCTTCCCACCCATTTCGTCATGAAACTTAGCTAGAGAATAATGTTGAGTCCTATCAAGCCAGATTTGGTGTTCCTGCTCAGCCATTGCCACTAGCCCGTACTCATCCTCAGCAATCCACTTAGAAACCTTTACAACTAATCTAAACGCGTTACCAGGATCAATCCTGG